ATCATGCATCTAAAGCGACACAGAACAGTTCCAAGGAGTCTGGGCTCTAGCTCTAGTTCTGCTTCTGCTACTGACTGCGATGTCACCTCCTCGTACCTCAGTGTCCCTGACTGTAAAATAGGGGCAGAGTGGGCTTTCTGAGCTGGCCACCCTACAGCTTAGGGGCAGTGAGGTGCATCCCCTCACCAGGACTCGCTGTGCTTCTCGGTGAAGACGCGAAGCAAGAAGTCGGAGTCTCTGTGAGGTTCGAAGGTGGAAGGAATGATGATGTACTCCCCTGGAGGCAGCCGGAGCTGGCTGCTCACCTCGCGGGAGTTGGTGAAGATCTCGGAGAAGCCATGGTCCTGGTACTTCACGAAGAAGTCCTTCTTCAAGTGGATATCCTGGATGTTCTGAAACTGTATGTGCCCTGGGACTGGGTACAGGACTGGCGTGGGAGGGCAGGGGAGAGGCGCCCCCAAAGGAACAGCCCGGCTGGGCAGGGGTCAGGGACTATGACCTCCAACTGAGTTGGTCTGGACAGCTTCCAAGTGGCAAGCAGCCCTCCATGGGCCCTTCCTTCCCCGACCCCTGCCAGGGCTGGGAAGGCTGGCATCCCGACTCTGTGCCCCTCAAAACCTTTTGCTGACTCCCTCCCCTTGCAGCCAGGGATGGGGTGAGCCTGCCCCACGGTCTCCATCTCCTGTACCTCCTTTGGGACCTGGGAAGGGAAGAGAGAGCAGGGTCAGATCTCTAAGGTAGGGAGAAGGCTCAGGCCGGAGGGAGCCAGGCAGGGTGTGCCTAGTGTGCGTGCGCGCGCATGTGTAGGTGTGTGAAGGGCGCTAGGACACTGGTGGTGGGGTGGGGTGTGGTCCTTCACAGCTAAAAGGTCCTAGCATTAAGAAATCCTCAGCTTTAGATAGCAAAGTACGGTTTACACGAAGTTTTGCCAGGATAGTTTTTTTGTTTTGTTGTTTTTTAGTTTTCAGGCTTTTGTCATAGGGCGCATGTGCTCACCAGAGAGAGACAGAGAGGGAAAGTGAGAAATCATCCCCATGGCGGGATGGCCACACAGCAATCCCTTCTCCTCCACTTTCCTCTTGGGATCTTGGGCACCATACACACTCAGCATGCTTTTCTTTTAAAAAAAAATTATTTTATTTTGTTCGTTATTATTATTTTTTTTAAGAGAGATTTTTGAGGGGCTGTCAAGAGGCATGGTGGTTAAGGGCCCTGAACTCTCACACGGCCAACTGTAGTTCGAGTCCTGGACCTGGCAGCTTACTTTCTCTCTCTATTGCTCACTCACTGTCTTGCTTGCTCTATCCCTCTCTGGTCAAATTAAAATAAATAAGTGAAGTTAAATGAAAAAAGAGAGAGATTTTTGTTACAGGGCACATGTGCTCACCAGAGAGAAAGTGAGAAATCACCCCCCAGTGGGGTTGGCCACACCGCAGTCCTTTCTCCTCCAGTCTCCTCTCGGGATTTTGGGGATGCACAGGCCAACACCCAGCATGAGTTTGAAGCCACCAGGTCTGGGACTCAAACCATGGTCGGCCAAGTGGGAGTCCAGCAACTATGCCATGTGCTGGTCCCTGTTACTTACTTATTTTTTTTTTTTAAGTTTGCTTTAGGGCACGTGCAGTCACCAGAGAAAGACAGAGAGAAGGGAAAGTGATGAAGCAAGTCGTCAGGTCCAGGACCTGCACTGTGGTTGGGCGTGTGGGAGTCCGGCACGGCAGCCACAGCACCTGCTGGCCCTAGTGTGGTTCTCAACACCAGGGGACTTCAACCATGATTGGCCGTGTGGGAATCCAGCGCCTTAGCCACCACGCCATCTGCTGGTCCTGCCAGGGTAGATGTTTTCTCCCGTTTAAGGACGGAAACTGGACCCCAACCTCACTCCAGTGGTAAGTGTGCAGGAGCTGAGAGGACCCAGGCGGGCCGAATCTGGGCTGCCACGGAAAGCTCGCGGCCTGCAGGTGGTTACTGACACTGAGGGTGGAGGACGAACGTGTTGGTAAGAGGTGAGTTACACCTGAGCCCCAGGGTAGGTGTGGTGAGTTACACCTGAGCACCAATCAGGCTGCTGCCCCGGGGTAGGTGTTAACATGCTGTGAGCACCGCAGTGCTGGGGCCATAGAGCTGGGCCGAAGCAGCGTCTCCCGACCTCATTTAACAGGGCGGACGCGTGGCCTGGGATCAAGGCAGGGCTTGTTCCTGGTTTCACTCACTATTAACCCCCCGGAGCTGGGACAGGGGCCCGGCATGCAATAGGTGCTCCGTAATACTTGGTGAGTGTAGGCGTGAATCAACGAGAAGCCATTTCTGGCATTTCGCAAAGCACATTTAGCCTGCGAATTGCTATCAGGGATTCCTCTAGACCTCTGAGTGGCCACTGTCCAGGTGGCTGGGACACGCCTGGGAGGCTATGGAAGAGTCTCACAGAGTGTCTGGGGATAGGACACAGGCTCTGCCTGTCACCCTTTGAAGTGCGTCCTTGAGCAAGTGACCTCACCACTCTGGGCTTCAGTCTCCTTCCTCTTCCTCAAAGGAGTTACTCTGTGAGGCCTTTAGAACAATGTCGGGCGTGAGGGAAGTGCGGCTAAATGGCAAACGAATAAACCTATCGGAAGGAAACCGCCAGCCTTGCCTTGAAAAGCACAAGGGTGAGGGCTGTGAAGTAGGAGCAGGTGTCACTCCCAGTGGACATGGTCCTGGGGAGGGAGGGTCTTAAAGGGGTGAACAGGTGAGGGGGACCCGCTAGCACCCACGGAGTAGACGACAAAGCCGATGGTCTGCAGCTGGGCTCCCTGTGGCCGGTCATGCCGCCAGTTCTTCTGCATCAGGGCCACCAAGCAGGTGCAGACGATGGAGTTGTCCTCTGCGTCATTCTCTGGGTCGTCCTCCTCAGGGAGACAGATCTTAAACTGAGGGTTGGTCCAGAACGTGTCTGTGGAGGAAGCGGGATGGGGTGGTTATTCGGGGGACGCTTCCTTGACCACGCCCTTCCCACGGTGGATGGCTCCCCCGGTCTCAGGCCTCCACAGGGGCTGGTGAGATCTGACTGACCCCAGGCCTGATGGGCCCTGATCCCCGACCTCCTCTCCCAGGCCTGGGTTCGTGGTGAGCCCGCCGCCCGTCCCTCTCGCCCTCACCCACCGAGGTAGTTCCTGCAGCCCCCTGCGGTGCTGCCCCTCCGCCAGCTGCCCTCGTAGAAGGTGGTGTGCCAGTAACTCTTACTGTCCCCAGCAAGGGCGTCGGGCGTGAGGTTGCAGATCTCCAGGAGCGTGAAGTTGTCCAGGAAATCTTGGTAGGACATCCTGTAGCGGGGCAGGGGAGGGAGCTCCTCAGTGGCCCCTGTCCCCAGAAGCCCTGGGAGCCTCCCCATCCAAGGCACCACACGGAGGGTGATGGAAGAGACACGGGACAGAGGAAGGGAGGAGCACAGCCCCTGAAGCCACACCAACCAGAACTCTCCATCCTCCTTCCTGGACAGCAGCTGCTTCTGGATGTCTGGGGTCACCTCTTCCCACTCCCTGGCACTAGAGCAGAGACAGGCCGTGGAAGAAGGGGGCCGGGCCAGCCAGCACCTCCTTCCTCCCCAGAGGAGCTGCTGTCCTTGTTGCCTGCCCACCGGGGTCCTGAGCTAGATGGAGAAGCTAGGGGGAGGGCTTGCCCTGGGATGCATCTCCCTGATGGGACACCACTCGGTCCCTCTGTGCTGCTGCTTTCTTGCGGGGTCTTCCATGTCCCGCGCACCCCTCACCTCGGTCAGGAGCACCTACTTATCACTCCAGGCTCCAATCCACTCAATCCGGCCCCAGGGGTTCCGGACCTGTATCAGTGTTTCCATCCTGCCTCTGTAGGGGACCTGGGGGGAAGGGGTTAAAGGTCAGGGGCATGGCTTTAGGACAGTGCTTTCCTTCTCAGGGCCCTCGGGGTAGTACCCAGTTGTCAGGACTCACATCCTTAAGGCCAGTGACTGAGTAGGCATGTCCTCTCACCAGCATCTTCTGGGTCATGGATTCCATGTCACTTTGGCTGACGACCTACAGATCAGAGAGGACGGGAAGGCACTGAGGATTCGGTCAGAGAGACCAGGGCACCTGAAGGAAGGTGAGACCTCTCCTGGGTTTTCTCTTTTTCTTTTTTTTTTTTTTAGAGGTTTTTGCTATAGAGCACGTGCGCTCGCCAGACAGACAGAGAGAGACATAGAGACAGAAAGCGAGAAATCACCCCCCAGGGTGGATGGCCACGCCGCAATCCCTTCTCCTCCATTCTCCTCTCAGGATCTTGGGCACGCACGCACACAAGCCCGGTGTGAGTTTTAAGCCACCGGGTCCGGGATGCGAACCGCGATCGACTACATGGGAGTCCAGCGACATAGCCATTACGCTAACTGCTGGTCCCGGTTTTCTCTCTTTTTAAGAAAAAAAAAATTATTTAATTTTATTTGTCATTATTTTATTTATTTATTTGAGAGTTCTTTTCTTTTAGAGAGGTTTTTGCTATAGGGTGTGTGTGCTCTCCAAAAAGACAGAGAGAGACAGAAAGCGAGAAATCACCCCTCCCCCCCTGGGGGGGAGATGGCCATGCCGCAATCCCTTCTCCTCCATTCTCCTCTCAGGATCTTGGGCACGCATGCACATGCACACAGCGTGAATTTAAGCCACTGGGTCTGGGACTTGAACCACAGTCGACTACATGGGAGTCCAGCAACATAGCCATTACATCAACTGCTGGTCCCTTGTTATTATTTTATAAGATTTGGGAGTGTGTGCTCACTGGAGAAAGAAAGACAGAGACAGTGAGAGGAAAGGTGAGAAATCACTCCCCCAGGGGGTAGGCCCACACTGCGATCCCTTCTCCTCCATTCTCCTCTTGGGATTTTGGCCACGGACACACACATGTCTGGAACAATTTTCAAGCCGTAGGACCTGGGACCCAAACTGTGGTCAACCACGTGAAAGCCCAACGCCTTAACCACTATATCACCTGCTGGTGCCATTATTATTATGTTTTAATTTGATACATGTACTCACAAGAGAGAGAGAAAGGGAGAGGGAGAGAGAGGAAGTGAAAGAGCAAGTTGCCATGTTCAGGACTCGAACTGCAGTCAGCCATGTGGGAGTCCAGAGCCTCAACCGCCACAGCATCTACTGGCCCCAGGCTTTCTCTTTTAATTAAACTCATATTTGACATAATTGTAGATTCGCCTGCAGTTTTAAGAATTAATAGAGAGATCCCATGTATCCTATACCGAGGTGTCCCCTAACAGTAACATCTTTGAAAACTATAGCACCATATCAAAACGAGGATGTCGGGCCAGTCCCCAGCCTAGCGGTTTAGGGAACTAGACCCCACGTGGCCAGTCACGTTTCCAATTCTGGCCCCAGTGGCTTGAGAAACGCACTTGACGCACATGCGTGCGTGCCCCGAATGCTGTCGTGATGGAGAAGTGAAGTGATTGCAACGTGACCACATCCTATCAGGGGGTGCTTTCTTCTTCTCTCTCTGTCCTTCTGTCTCTCTGGAAAGTATGTGCCCTCTGACGATTACCAGGGTGCTGGCTTACTCTGTTGACGTTCAGACTCCCCTGGTTTTACTAGTACCCCTTCACGTGTTGGGTGGAGATCCATCACACGGGCAGTTCTGTGTAACCACCACCGCAGCCCAGGTGCAGAGCCTTTCCGTCACCACACGCACCCTTGTGTGGCCCTCCTACAACCACACTCACCTCTTCTCACTGCTCCCCTTCCCTAGCCCCTGACAAGCGCGAATCCACTCTCCCTCTCTGTCATTTTGGCAGGTCGAGAATGTCATACAGGACCAGCAGGTGGCGTGATGGCTAAGGCAGCTGGATCCCACATGGCCGACTGCGCCACTTGAGACCTGGATCTGGTGGCTTGAAAAAACAAGCCAAGCGCTTGTGGGTGTGCCCAAAATCCTGAGAGGAGAATGGAGAAGGAATCTTCTCACTTTCTCTCTTTCTCCCTCTGTTTGTCTCTGGTGAGTGCACACACCCTAAAGAAAAAAAAAAAGTCACACAGGTCCAGCTGCGGTGGTGCGCTGGTGAGGCAATGCTCTGCACTGCCGGACACCATATGGAGGATCGGAGTTTGGTTCCTGGGCCACTCGGTACACACTGGGCATGCGCCCATTATCCTGGCTGGCTGGAAAGGCTGGGGAGGAGAATGGTGGCATTGAGACTCTGGTGAGAGGGCTCCTCCCTGTCTTTCTCTGTGTGTCTTTCATGAAAGCAAGAAAGAAACTTAAAATAAAAGAATGCCGTGTAAATGGAGCCATGCAGCGCGTGACCTTCGGGGCCGCTGTTTTCCTTCAGCGTCATTCCCTTGAGATCCAGCCGGCTGCTGCATGCACCCATAGCTCGTTCCTTTTCTGCCGACTGCTAGTCCATGGTGCGTAACCACCAGTTTAACTATTCACTCACTGAAGGACCTCTAGGTTGTTTCTCACTTGGGCCACTATAAAAAAAGGTGCTATAAACATTCATTTACAGGATTTTACGTGGACATGAGTCTCCATTACCCTGGGATAAATACCCAAGCATGCAGTAGCTGGGCTACATGGTAGGTCTCTGGGTTCATTTATTTATTAGGGCAAATATGTTCTGGGTGCCTATTTCATGCGAGGCCCTAGCCTATGTCCTAAGACCTGTAAATTAGCAGGAAATGAGGCGAACAAGGTCACTGCCCCATGGAATGGGAATAGCATCGGGAGAATGTGGGCTACAAATACATAGGTATGCAACATCATTTCAGGTCATGACAAATGCTGGGGAGAAAACTGAAGCTAAGTAGACATTAGACGTGGGAGCAGCCACTTTAGGTTGGGAGGTAGAGAGGCTAGTCTGAGGAGGGGGCAGTGGGACTGGAATGTGGGTGGGAAGGAGCCTTCTAAGAGAATGTGACACAAGGGGAGGGCCCTGAGACCTGACCAAGCTCAGCTTACTTCAATGGAGCAGCCCATGAGGGAGGACCGCTCCACGGCCTTTCTCAGCATCCTCCGCAGGTTCTGAGGCGGCTTCTGGAGCTGGAAGCTCTCAGACACACCCCCTGTGAAGTCCTCGAAGCCCTCCATCGTGTTGCCCCCTGACAGCGCTTCATAGGACCCGCTCAACCTGTGGGCACAGAGGGCACTGTTGGACTCTGGGATGGACGGGTGAACTTGGACGTTAGAGGGTGTGGTGAGGAAAGGGAGGGGTACGCTGCCACCCCACCTGTTCCCCCACTCTGGCCGCCCTTCCCTCGGCCGGCGCACTCACTTGGCATAGGCCTTCTCCAGCAGGGCGCCCCAGAACTCATTTCGCTCTGATGAGTGCACGAACAGCAGCTTGTCGTTCTTGGTGGGCAGCCGGTCGTCCACCACCACATCCACCCACTGCCCGAACTGCCAAATCTGCAGGCAGCAAGGTGGGCCTCAGCCGAGTGGGGCATCTGTCTGCCCCACGGTCCTCCTCCACACGCACCTCTCCTGCAGGAACCCTGTCATCCTAGCGCCTCCTGGTGGCCAGGCCTGGTGACACGCCAGTGTCAGAGAAGCCAGTCACCAGAATGGTTGCCTGGTGAATCCTGACCCCAGCCCCCTCTCTGGTTCTGCCAAGGCCTTTGGGATGACCCCACCCACCCCCCAACTGAAGATCTGCCCCTGCAATTAGAGGAGACCTGGACTTTAGGATCTCTGGGGTCTTAAAAATTCTTATGATGGGGCCAAAAGGTAGGGTAGTGATTAAGGTGCTGGGCTTCCACGTGATGGATCACAGTTCAAGTCCTGGACACAGTGGCTTGAAACACGCTGGGCATGTGTGTGTACGTGCCCAAAGTCCCGAGAGGAGAGTGGAGGACAAGAGATTGTGGCCTGGCCAAACCTCTGGGGAGGTGACTTCTCGTTTTCTGTCTCTCTCTGTCTCTCTAGCAAACACACATGCCCTATAGCAAAAATATCATGCATACACAAACAAAAAAAAACACCTCTTAGGATTCTCAGAAGTATTTTACGACATGGGGAATTTGCCCACAAGTTGCTAAGTTAAAGACTACAAAACTAGGGACCAGCAGATGGCATAATGGCTATGTTGCTGCATTCCCATGTAGTAGACTGTGGTTCGAGTCCCAGATCCAGTGGCTTAAACTCACGCCGGGTGCGTGTGCATACGTGCCCAAGATCCCGAGAGGAGAATGGAGGAGAAGGGATTGTGGCGTGGCCATCCCCCCTGGGGAGTGATTTCTCACTTTCTGTCTGTCTCTCTCTGTCTTTCTGGTGAGTGCACGTGCCCTATAGCAAAAACCTCTCAAAAAAAAAAAAAAAGAAAAAGATTACAAAACTCATGTGATAGTGGTGCCCAATATCATATGCGGACACACACACATGCATACACATATATGCAGTCATGCCTCGCTTTCCAACCATGGTGTGTGCTGAGAAACCGTCGTTAGGCGATTTCGCCAGTGTGGGAAGCTCACAGCCTGCATGTGCAGGACCAGACGGCAGAGCCCGCTGCACATCCGGGCTGCACAGTCGGCCTGTGTGCTCAAAGGACCGTTGTCTGCCATCGATTGACCTGTCGCTTCGCTGCCATGACGGTATGTCATAGGGAGAAAGAGAAGGGCGAGGGAGAGCCACAGACCTTAACAGTGGTTTTCTTTGGGGGCTTAAGCAATGAGTTTACCCAATTCCTTTCAATGAGCAGATAGCTCTCTGGTAATCAAGCAAATCCCACTCTAGTAAGTATTATTTTCTTTCTTTTTTAAAAAGGATTTTGCTTTAGAGTACATGCACATGTTGGAGAGAGGCAAGGGGAGACGCTGAGAGGGAAAGTGAGAAATCACCCTCCGGAGGGCAGGGCCTTGCCACAGTCCCTTCTCCTCCATCCTTCTGGGATTTGGGGCAACCATGCACACACGCCCAGCATGAGTTTCAAGTCATCAGGTCCGGGACTTGAACTGTGGTCAGCCATGTGAGAGTCTAGTGCCTTAACCACCACACTACCTGCTGGCCCCAATAACAGTTATTTTCAAAAAGAGAAAGACAAACTTCAAACCATATATAAATTCTCTCTCTCTCACACACACACGCACACACACACACACACACACACAGAGCAACATTGGTTCTTCAGTTGTCCTTCACCTGGAAGTGGAAGATGCCAGCGTAGTTCTTCTTGAAGCTCTGTCCCTTGGGCACCACACGGTGCAGCAGTTTGGGGTATGTGGTGAGGGAGGCAATGGCCGCCAGCAGCCAGCAGTCCCCTAGGAAGACAGGCAGGAGGTCGGCCGGTGGCGCGGAGGTTAAGGTGCTGTTGAATCCCAGACCTGGCACCTTGAAAAATACATGGGACGGGACCGGCAGGTGGCATGGTGGTTAAGGGCGCTGGACTCCCACATAGTCGATCCTGGTTCGAGTCTGGGACCTAGCGGCTTGCTTTCTTTCTCTCTCTCTCTCTCCCTCTCTGGTCAAATTAAAATAAAAATAAATACATAAATAAATAAAGTTCAATAAAATAATTCTTTAAAAAAAAAATACATGGGGCACATGTGTGTGCATGCCAGAAATCCTGAGAGGAGAGTGGATTGCGGTGTGGCCATCCCCTCATGGGGTGCTTTCTCTTTCTCCCTGTCTCTCCCCAGTGAGTGCACATGCCTGATAGCTAATAAATAAATAAATAAAGGGGGTAGGGTTTGCCCTCGCGTGCTCCCTGCATGAATGGGCAGACCCCGGAATCTAAGGCCTGTAGGAGCAGGAACCTGGTCCTGGCACCCCCCCACCCCAGGAGAGATGCCCCTGCTTCAGCCTCCCACTAAAGGGCATTCAGGAAGGAGGCAGAGGGACAGGCTCTGGGGGGTGAGCTCTATCTTTCCTTTGCGGTGAGAGATTCCCAAATTGCAGCCACATGCTTTAGTGCTGGTGGGTTTGGGAGGCAGCGTGTTTGGTCTCAGGCTCTTGCTCCCCAGTCCAGGGCCTGCTTTCCTAGGGAGACAATCAGTACCCCTCCATGCTTGAGCAAGCGCAGTGACCCTCCCCATGGCTCCTCACCCCCACCTCAGCAGTACACTGGTGTAGTGAGGAAGGCCCCAGGATGTCTCTTCCTCCTGTAACCCACGTCGCGTTGTGTCAGAGACCCAGGGCTCAGTCTACCCCAGCGGGGTTCCTGAGCTAGGCACTGTTGTGAGCCCAGGGGCAGTGTCCCTGGCCCCAGGTCTGATTTTAAAGGAAGCCATGCGTTGCCACCTGTCTCCTGGTGTCAGCCCTCCCAGGATGGGGCTGGGAGCAGCGCGGTGGCCAGTGTGGGCATGGCCCAGGCTGGGGCTGAGGCACTGGGAAAGCTTCTGGGATTACCTTTGGCCTCCTGGCTGTCTGGGGGAGACAGAGGACAGGAAAGAGAGGTTAAGGCTGCCCGGTCCCATCACCGTGGGGTACCTAGGAAGAAGCCAGCTCTCTCCCGCTATGCCCAGAGCCCTTCCAGCCCAGCAAGCCACAGTGACAGCTGTGGGGCCTGAGGTCACCTTGGCCTCTGCCCTGCCCACACCCTGACTTTTTCCCAGCCCCAGTGGGGCAGAGCTCAGTCTTAGAAGAAGCCCACCCTGGCCTTCTGCCTAAAGAGGCAATGAGGGCTTGGGAGGAAGCCATGACACAGGACCAGCTGAGGGAGAAGAGCTATCCCCGTGTTGTCCACAGAGCCTATAGGACAGTGGGCAGAGGGGCCCTACTGCTCCGTATCTAACACCTTGGAATGAGGTGGTTCTAGCACCTGCAGTGGTTTCAAGACATGTCCACCATGGTTTTGACCATCTTCTCCAAAGGTGGAGTCTGATCCTCGCCCCTCGAGTGTGGCCGATTCAGCACCTGCCTCTAGCGCATGAAATATGGTGGGAGTTACGTGAGTGACTCCCGACAGGTCACACACATCATGGCTTTCTGCTCGTCCTCTCTCTTCACTGGTTTTGGGAGAGCTGGCCACCCTGTTGTGTGGATGTTCAAAACCCCATGGAGAGGCCTAAATGGTAAGAAACCAGTCTCCTGCCACACCAGTGCGCCATCTTGGAAGCAGATTCACCAGCCCGGCTAGCCCTTCAGAGGGCACAGCCCAGCTGACATCTTGACTGTGACCTCCTGAACCGTTTGGCTAGGCTGCTTCCAAACTCCCGACCCACAGAAAGTGTGAGGTAAGAAATTAAAAATAACTTTTTTTCCCCCCCGAGGATGCATGCACTCACTAGAGAAATGGGAGGTGGGGAGTTAGAAACACCCCTCCCTGCACCCCATTAGCATGGTCATGCTGCCATCCCTCTCTTCCTTTTTTCCCTCCTTTCGGGATTTTGGGCATGCATGCACATGCACCCAGCGTGTTTTTCAAGCTGCTGGGTCCAGGACTCAAACCACAGAGTCAGGCGTATAGGATGCAGCTGCCTTAACCACCAGGCCACAGGCTGGCCCTGTTGTTTTCTTTTAAGCCATGAAGTCTTGGGTAATGTATTATGTAGCAATAGGTAACTAATGTATCGATCCAGCTGACCCCTAGCCCCAGCCTGCAGCAGGTGGCGGGTGGCATCCAGACCTGGGAGGGGCAGAGAGAACACATGTGACACTGTCACCTTGGGAGAGAGGGACAAGGAAACAAAAGCAGCGGTCTGAGCTTAGGTGGTCCCAGTTTTCCAGCCCTGGCACTGCCCCTCCCCAACACTCCTCTCTCTTCACCCCTGCCCCCAGCGGAGATCCGCTCCTGCTTCCTGCTCACCAAGTATGCCCTGGCAGATGTCTGTCGGAGAAATCCCATCCACGATGAACTGAGGATTGTGTGTGATTTCCTGCAGAAAAGGAATACACATCTGAGGGGCCCAGGACACCCCTTTCAACCTTCCTCCCACCTTTACTGGGAATGACACCCACCTTGAAGTTCTCGACAAACAGCAGGAAGGGGGAGGGGAGGGCAAAGGACCAGCTTGGCATAGCTGTGGGCTGTGATAACAAAGGCTGGTGGGCAGGTAGGCTTAAGCGCATTTAGAGCCGTCCCCAGTGGGGACCAGCAGGTAGCATGGTGGTTCAGTCACTGGACCCCAACCTGGTTGATCACACACCCAGCAGCTTGAAAATCACACCAGGCTTGTGTGGGTGGGTGCCCAAAATCCCAAGAGAAGGATGGAGAAGAGATTTCCCCCTTTCTGTCTCTCTCTGGTGAGCACACATGCCCTATGACAAAAACCTTAAAAACATACTAAAAAGCTTTCTCTCATGGAGCTGAGCCTACCGCCAGGGTCAGCGGGGAATTAGCGATTATAGAAGAGATGGGGGTGTCCCTACAAATCCCCTCCCGCCAGGGGCCCATGGCTCCTCTCCCCGTGCCCACCTTGGGTCGCTTCCAGCAGATGTTCTGCATGTTTTTGGAGCTGGGGCCCAGTTCCTTAAAGCCCAGCGAACTGGGCTCTGCACAGAATAGGGGGTCCTCGAACAGCTTCCCGTTCCGCAGACAGGCTGCTCGCAGTTCCTCAAAGTTCTGGTTTTTGTAGTTGTTGGCATTGTTGTGTTGGCCCACGCCCTTGGCCTGGAGTCGGCTCTGGTTGATGCTCACCACCATTCCCTTCTCAGAAAAAATGGTCTGCTCTTAATTATAAAGAGAGAAATAATTCAGTTAAAATAATCGGTATCTCTCAGACTTTGCGCAAAACACGAACCATCACATGACAAGTGCTCAACGTCACAGGCATCAGAGAAATACAAATCAAGGCCATAATGATACAGGACATCCTAAAAAATGACATCGCTTGGGAACCAGCAGTTAGAGTAATGGCTATGTCCCTGGACTCCCACGTAGTCGACCGCGGTTCGCATCCTGGACCCTGTGGCTTAAAACTCACGCCGGGCGCGTGTGCGTGCGTGCTCAAGATCCCGAGAGGAGAATGGAGGAGAAGGGATTGCGAAGTGGCCATGCCCCCCGGGGGGTGATTTCTCGCTTTCTGTCTCTGTCTCTCTCTGTCTGTCTGGCGAGCACACGCACCCTATAGCAA